CAGCTTTCAAAGATTAAAACAAAAAGAGTTAAGTTTCTAGAAATACAAACAATATTCTATGACTGGCAGCTACCAAATTTAAAGTTATCAGAGATGGTCTCCTATTTAAAAGAAAAATCAACTAAAAAATATGTACAGCACCTGCTTAAGCAGAGTGCAGGGGCCAGGGCTTGATCCCATGCCATGCTGTGCTGGCTCCACCCCCGGGACACACTGAGAAAGCAAAACTGTTGTGGTTGGTGCCTGTAATCGCAGTGCCTGGGAGGCTGAAAACAAGAGGATCACTACAAATCTGATCTGTGTAGTGAGACCCTGTACTAAATACGTAAAAAAAAAAAAAAAAAAAAATCTGTCTGTCTGTCTGTCTGTCTGTCTGTCTGTCTGTCTGTCTGCCTGGGGGCTTGCTGGTTAGCTCAGTTGTTTAAACAACTGCATGGGCAAACCCAGTCAGGCACAGGGGACCATGGTTTGATCCCCCAGCTCCACATGCATCACCAGACCCACCCTTAAGGCAGCCTTAGCCAGCCAAAAAAAACAAAAAAATCCCTATCTACTATCTATCTATGTACCTACCTATCTATCTATCTACAAAGATTCAAGTATCAAATACCTAACTAACCTGGAAAATAATTGTATTTTATTAATAAAATGAAAGAGCTGAAAACATAACTTCACAAATATAATGCACACTCATAAAAATGTTCACACAGGAGCTGAGCACAACATACTGTCAAAGGGTTTGTCAAATATGGGTGAGGCCCTAGGTTCAATCCCCAATACCAAAAAAGTACACATTTATAGGTGAGCAACACACAAAACAAAAAGTAATAGCATCAACATTTCCTACTGAAGTAAAACTTGTTACTGTCTTTCTGCGAAAACGCTTAAAACTCTTGGCCGACTGTCTCTGTAATTAGCTACACTCAAAGGTTTATAGGACCAGGGAAATAGATCAGCTGTCTAAGCACCTGCCTGGCAAGCACAAGGACCTGGGTTCGATCCCTCATACTGCATGCCATGCCAGCCCTGTCCTGGGCACAGTGCTCCATGCCAGCCACTGAAACTGGGTGTGGTGGCACACGCCTATAATCCCAGCAGTGGAGAGGCTGAAACAGGAGGATCAGTACAAATCCAAGCTGAGCAGTGAGACCCTGTCCAAATTAAAAAAAAAAAAAAAAAGATTTGTAATGCAGGGAGAAATAACAAGTCAATAAACAAAGGTGGTCATACTCAAAAGATCTGCAAAAACAACAAATATCATTAATAATCACTGTTATGGCTTATATCTAGATGTTCCTCCAAAGCCTCATGGGCTCACAGGTATGATTTTCCAGAAATGACTAGATCTGGGGTGTATAATGCTGGGATTCATGGTGTGATACTAAGATTAAGGGTGACCCACCCTGGATGTGAGTGTTATACAACAGGGCGGGTAGTCCGGGTAAAATATAAGGGACAGAAAGAGGGCTGCTGCATGTTACTTCACTGCCTTGCTGCCTTCTGCTTGCCATGAGTTGTTTCTCCTTTGCAAAGCCCTTCTGCCATGCTACTCTGTTTTAGACCCAGCCACCTATGAATTGAAACATTTACAAATTGTGAGCTATAATGAACCTCTTTCCCCCTTTAACTTTGGGTATCATGTATTTTGTCTCAGCAATGACAAAAGACAATCAATAAATAAGATAGGTGTAGTGGCATCTATAATCTGTGCTCAGGAAGCTGAGCACTGGTAGGATTGTCCCAAATTTGAAACCAACATGGGTTTACACAGTGAGCTCAAGACCAGTCTGAATTATATAGTGAGATACTGTTTCATATAAGAAACAAACAAGATTCAGCCAAATAGCTCAGTGGATTAAAGTGCCTGCAAGCAGGTTCAGGGGCGGGAGTTCAATCCCTGGGCCTGCTGTGCTGGCCCCACCCCCAGGGTGTGCGGAGATGGTGATTGTGACTGGGCCTATGGTATGCGCCTGTAATCCCAGCTCTTGGGAAGCTGTAAACAAGTGGATCACTACGAGTCCGATCTAGCAGTGAGACCCTGAACACTCTGTAGACCCTTCCCTAAAATTAAAAAAAAAAAAGAAACAAACAGGCCAGACATGGTGGCACATCTGTAATCCCAGCACTTGGGATGCTGAGGCAGGAGGATCACTGCAAGTTGGAAGTCAGCCTGGGCTACACAGTGAGTTTAGTGCCAGCTTGAACTACATAACAAGACCTTGACTCAAAGAACAAACTAACACACACACTCTCAAAACCAAGAAATTTATTATTTTGGAAATGATTATTTTAAAATAGATAATTAGTTTGTTTTTTAGACCAGATACCTGCAAAGAATAATGAAGAACTTGACAAGCAAAACTGACAAAGCTTGTTGTTGTTCCTCTAACCCATCTGCCATTTTCTGAACACATTGTACCAGCTGGATCCTCAGAACCTGCAGAATATTATCAGGAAGTAGAGATATTCCTGGAGGTACATCATCTACCCTACAATTGAAGAGAAGAAAATAGAGTGTTGTAATACAGAAGAAAATCTCTAGCACTTACATGAACAGCATTTTTAGCTTAAATCCTAGAGTTCTTTCAATTTTTTTCAAAATGCTCTGTACCTTCTCGTCTGTAAGCACAACCAGATTGGTAACTAGATTGCAGCAGAATGATTAATCTTATTCCAGAGGAGAGAAATATTGTTCTATTTTTAATTAAAATATCTTTAACTACATAATATAGATACATAAGTTCATAAATATAAATTTTGTCATCTGCTCTGCTGAACACTAATGCCCTACTTTATACATGCCCAAGCCATATGATTGTAAAAGGGTGAAATGATAAGCGGCAAAAGTGTAGGTCTCATATATGAGCATTAAGAAAAGGTTTTTTAGAGTAATATATCAATATTTTGTGATAAATGGCTTCTGTAAAAAAAATGTGGTTCTTCAAAAGCAAAAGTCCACATGAGATCTGAGTGGCTTCTCCGCTGTCTCATCCACCATAAGAGCTCATACTAGAGCCACAGTATAAAGACCTGGGGTATAAATTCCATCTCTGTAACATGGCGCTGGTCATTATCTCTGAAGTTCCTCAATCTACAAAATTTTAATATCACCTGGCCTATTTCACAGGGCTCTAAAACCAAAGGTCAATGTGTATTTTTTGCTGTGAAATACATAAAGAATTACAAATATATATATATACACCATCAATGAGGCTTAAGAATTTTTTATAAGCCGCTAGGAAAAATGCCCATATCTCAGAATAGCAAAGAGCTCTATAATTAAATGACACAATTTAAGTCTCTTCAGATAATGCTTCATGTGAGCTAATGAAAGTAATGTGTACTCCATTAGTACAGTATGTTTACACTGAATGAAAGACTCTGCAGACAAAAAGATTCAAAGTATAATACCAATAATCAAATACATAAATACATTAGCCTTCTTAACCATTCTCAAACACAAATTAAGGCACTTTTTATAAAATTAATACCTGATTTTAATTAAATTACACAGTACTCTCCAAAGCAAATTATAAAGATTGACAAATTCTATAACCATGTTACAAAAATACCATGCTTTACTTTTGAATGAGAACTACATCAGATATAGCTTCAAATTTGTTCATTCTCTTACTCATAAATAGTACTAGAAAATTTCTCATTATCATATATATATTTTTCTCCCAGTAAAAAGGTGCTTGCAAAAACCAGAGTAACTCAAGATAAAAAACAAAGACTTAAATACAATTTTTTAGATGTTAATCTCCTTTTTTCCACTTTTCAAAAAAAATGTCAACAAGAAGGAAAACACTGTATTTTTCCAATAACCCATAAAAGTTTATCCTTTTATCCTTGGTCATCCCATTCTACATTGCACATTTTGCAAAATAACTGTTAAAAGTAATTAGCTTCTGAAAGAGCAATTTATCTGTTTTGTTTTGAACTAGCTCTTATTACAAAATTAATACTTTGTTGAAACATGCTTTATAGGTAAAGTTAAAATTTTTAGCCATGTTTCTAGTATGATGAGCATTTAAGAACTTAGAAGCACTTTACTAGAACTTACTGTCCAAAATTATATGCTCTATTTGTTGAAATTTCCCAAACACCAAAAATGTGTTCCACTCCTCTGTTGACTACTGACTACTGAATGGCGGCAATATTTGAGTCTAACACAGGCAGAGGCCTACCTTAACGTTTCTTTAAGACTTTAAATTCTGGTAAAGGAAATCTGTCTTGCATTATGAAGTCTCTAATTCAGAAATGCTTTTAAGTCATTGTACTTTACATGAAAATTATACATGAATTTCTGAACTTTAATTCAATTAGTTTTATACAGTGTCTTGTACATAGTCTACATTTAAAAATTTGTTTTTTATTCTTAAAATCTAAATTAATGGTTCAGTGGGGGATTTTTTTCTTTTGATTCTGAAGTATTGAGAACTGAAGCCAGTATCTTTGAACTAAGCTACAATCTCTGCCCTTCTTTTTATTATTTGAGACAGGTTCTCACCAAATTGCTAAATTTTCTATCTTCCTAACTCAAACACCCAGAAATACAACTTTAAATAAACTAACTACAGTGGTCAGGAGGCTGAGGCAGAACTGCTTGAGTTGAAAGCCAACTTGGGCTATACAATGAACTGAAGGCCAGGATGAATTACATAGTGAGACACTCTCTCACATAAAACAAACAAAAAAAGCAAAAGCTAATTACATAAACAAAGCACTGCTCTAGGCCAGCCCAACAAATCAGTGGACTAAAGTGCCTGCTTAGGCAGCCCCAGCCACTGGGGCTCTATCCCCCAGCATACTGTGCCAGCCCCATCCCGGGGCATGCTAAGACTGGGATTGGGACTGGGCATGGTGGCGCATGCCTGTAATCCCAGCACTTGGGAGGCTGAAAACAGGAGGATCAGTATGAGTCTGATCTCAGCATGTAAGACCCTGTAGACACTGTACTAAATACATAAAAAAAAAAAAGAGAGAGAGAGAGAAATTAAGGAAAAAAACAATGCTCTTAGCATTCCTCTTCATCCTAAATCAAACACTCTGGCAGTATAAGTCTGCACAATGTTTTTAGAAATGATCCCCCAATAATCCCTTCATAATTTGTGGATGACAACTGCATCTTACAAACTTCAGAAGCCTCATTTTTTCAGTACTGGGGATCAAACTCAAGACTGCATTTGCGGGCAAAACTCAAATGATTTAACATGAACCATAAAAGGCACAGAAGGCCTGGTGATATAATTCAGCAGTATAGGCCCTGGCCTGGAAAGCACAAGTTTGATTCCCGAGTTTGATTCCCAGTAAAAAAAACCAATCAACCAACCAAACAAACAAAACACACACACACACAAGCACAAGCCATAAAGTAAAAGTAGTCATGTATAGCACATTCCTCAGAGGCTAAGGCAAAAGGGGCACAAGTTTGAGCCCAGCCTAGGCCACTTAGTGGGATTTTATCTCAAAATAAAAGTCTGGAAATGTAAGTACCCCTGAGTTAGGTTCCTAGTACTATAAAAATTAATTAATAAAGTTGAAACTACACGTATACTCTTTTATTTGTAGAAGACATAATCTTGAGAAAATTCTACTAAATAACCTGATGAGAAAAAAATCTGAAACTAGGGCTAGGGATATAGCTCAGCAGCATAGTGCCTGCCTGGCAAGCATGAGGTTGTGAGTTTGATTCCTGGGACGAAAAAAAACCACGAAAGAAAGACAGACAGACAGACAGAAAGACAGAAATCTGAAACTAAATTTATAAAGTAGTAGTTTTTTCTCAGCACAGTCTCATCTAATAGTTTCTTCTCCAGATTCTTTTCTCTTTCTGGGTTTCTTGCTTTCAGTCTCAACCCATTATAATTTTCCCTCTCCAATGACAACAAAACAACATGAAAAACAAACTGGGTCATGACATTGTCACAAAGAAAGGATTTTTTTTTTTTTTTTTTGTAATTAGGTATTTAACTCAGGGCCTCATGTATATTATACATATGCTCTACTAGTGATCTGTATGTCCCCCCCCCCTTTTTAAGACTGTCTAAATGGCCTATACTGGCTTCTAACTTGAACCCTCCTACCTCATACTCCCAAGTAGCTGAGCCACCATGCACAGCCAAAACTTTAAGTTACATTATCTTTCATTTAAAAAACCAAATAATTTTATTATAAAAAATAAATAATATCCATTAGCAGTGCACTCATGATATTTCATGACTTGACCCTTGTACAAGTCTCTAGACTCAACTATTACTCTGGCTGGCTATCCTTGTCTCCAAATTTCAAGCACTATTCCTTACAGATCCTTAATTTTCCAGTACTCTTTCTCTTCACTAGTCAGCAGTATTTTTTCCTTCTTCTCTCAACATATGTCTTATAAGTGACTTGGATCTCCCTTTTCTTCCTTTTTACCCCAGCTAGCCTCTCTTACCTAACTACTGGGCTTTTCAGACAGCTTGAGATTTAGAAAAAATCTTTATTTTGTATGTTGCCAAGGAACTGAGAGTCCAGAAATGATGGTAAGTGGTGGAAAAGATTTGTACTGTTAGTTGTACTTTTTCATAAAATTTGCATTTTCTAATTTTCATTTTTTTAAATACAGCTTTTAAAAAATACTAATTCTTTGCCTCCTCTTGAAGCTCTCTTTTGAGGCTGGAAATGGAAATAAGTCATGTTCTTCATTGTCCTGACTGGTGACACAATGATACTTTGCAAGGAAATATGTCCTGGTTCCATGGAGAAGCATGGAAGCTCTGCATTTAGGACCCTTCTAGAACCTGTTCTACATGTGTCCTTTATAATAAAGGTGTATCAAAAGTGTAGCACTTTTGGTGAATTCGTTTGGGCAGTCTAGGAAATTCCAGAACCTGAAGAGAGGTTCTGTGTTCAACTTGTGAGACCTAGTGCTAACCCTGGGGAGCCAGCATCAAAAATGAGTGAACTGCAAGACATCACTGGGTAGTGTCTCACCAAAGCAAAGAGACTTCAAAAAGCCAGGTCTTATATCAACAAGAAAAACTGCTATGATTAATGCTTTTTGCCATGACAACAGTTATGCAGGCTATCAAGAGTAATGACATATTAGTCATCCATATAACATGTGAACATTGACATCTTTGTGCCAAAAATGAGCAGGAGTAATAAAGCCATGTGTCTACATACCTTGTAGGCAGCTTTTCAAAATCAACATCTAAGAACTGTTCATAGCTAGAAACAAAATTGTCCAACCACAGCTTTAGGTAATCTGGATCTTTCTGAAATAAGAAAATCAATACAGAAATTATTTTATTACATAGATCTGTCAGGAAAATTAATGCTTTTGTAACCACTGAGTAGCTATTGGAAAAAGAAACAATATGAAATCTCTACACAATATTAAGCAAAAGCTATGTACTCTTTTATAAAATCCATTAAGTATAATAAAATGCAAACAAAGCTTATCTAAAATGAGGGGAAGAAGGGTTGCAGGGAGGGGAAGGGAATGGGAAAAAATAATTGAGATGTGTTATGTTTGGGTACAAATTCCCTATGATGAATATGATCAACATATATGACAAATATGTACTAATAAAAAAAATAAGTTTTAGCCAGGAATGGTGGCACATGCCTGCAATCCCAACACTTGGAGGCTGAGGCAGAAGGAAAACTGCGAATTCTAGATGAGCCTGGGCTACAAAGTGAGCTCAAGGCCAACATGAACTGCATAGCAAGATCCTGTCTCAAAAAGCTAAAAATATAATAAAGGTTTAAAAGAATGAGCCTTCAAATGTCATTCAGTGCACCAATCTTACCAGTGTCCCGTGGGACTCTTAAGTTTGTTCTCCACATAACTGTGCCTTTCCTGCTGTCATACTCTTATTACCCTGTAGCTACCCCTCGGACATGGCAGATCTTTTTCTCTACCCAGTATACTCCTCTCCCAGACACCTGAACAGATGATTCCTCCATCTTCAAGTCATTACTGTTTTATTGGAAAAGGGTCTTACTATTTAACTCAGGTTGGTCTTAACTCATTATGTAGTCCAGGCTGACTTCAAACTTATGGCAATCCTTCTGTCTCGGCTTCCTGAGTGGTGGGATTACAGGTGTGCCCACCATGCCTAGCTTCAAGTCATTCTTTAAATGATGTATTCTCAGAGGCAAAACCTGTCAATGTCTTTTACCCTACCATTCTTTTGCCCAACCCCATCATCCTTTATCATATTCTGTGATTTACTTATTGTCTCATTCCCTAGGATATAAATTCACATAGAATTTTTATTTGTTAATGGATTCCAAAGACCTAAAACAGTGCCTAGCACCAAGTGCTCAGTAAATTTTTTTCAGTGAATTAGTAGGAAATAAAGGGCTCACTTCAGCAACACAGAGAGGAAGTGTTAAATGCAAATAGTCAAACTGGAAATAGATCATTAACCTAAACACAAAAACTAAGAATCTCCCAGAAGAAAATATAGTTATGCCTTTGGACATGGAGATAAAGTTTTTTTTGTTTTTTTTCTTTCTTTCTTTCTGGAACACAAAATTCATGAACTAAATGAGAAAAATTAAAGGCCATGGTTATAGCACCTAAGTGTTGGTCTGTTTCTAGCATGCATGAGGCATTAGGTTTAATTCCCAAGACAAATAAGTAAAAAGAAATACATAAGCAAGTATTTCTACTTATAACTCATCAAGACACTTATCAAAGAAATGGAAGGCAGGGCTGGACATGTATCTCAGTGGTACAGCACTTATCTAGCATGAATGACACTCTGGGTTCAATCTTGAGCAACACACACACACACACACACACACACACACAAACCCAGCCATACAGTTGATGAAAATATTTTCAGATTTGTATCAGTATCTTAGTGTATACAAATATATAATAAAAGAATCAATTTTTCAAATGGACACTTGACAAAAGGGGGTACACAAATGGCCAAATAGCACATAAAAATGTGCTATTAGTTATCCAGAGAAATGCAAATTAATAAAACAGAATGTATTTTTTTTTCTCACGAGAATGGCAAAAGTTGAAAAGGCTGAAGATATATGTTAGTGAAGATGAGGAATAACCATAGCATCCATACTTTATTGGTGGGAATATAAAATGGTATGATTATTTGGATAACAATTTGACAGTTTCTTTTTTCTTTTCTCCCTACCAAGAATCATTCATGACCTTACACTTGCCAGGCAGGCACTTAGGCCACTAAACTAACTCCCTGGGCCAACAACACACTACCCAGCCATTCTTCTACAAAAATGAAGACAAACACCCACAAAAACACTTGTACAGAAATGTTTACAGAATCTTTATTTTTAATAGTCTAACACTGGAAACAAATACAAATTCTATCAATAGGTTTATGGATAAAGAAATTGTGGCATACTCATACAATGTATGTAATGCTACCCAAGAATAAAAATCTCCAAACTATTATTTTTTAAATGTATTTGGTACAGGGCCTCACTACGCAGGTTGGACTTGTAGAGACCCTCCTATTTTCAGCCTCCCCAGCACTGGGTTTAGAGGCATGCACCACCGCATCCAGACTCAGTTGCCTGTTCAGCACATCTGGGGACAGATAGAATCCCAGTTGCTGTGCTTGCCTAAGCAGGCACTTAGTCTGCTGAGCTATCTCACCTGCCCTCTTTGAACTACTGATACTCAGGAGAACACATACAAATATATAAAACCTACTGAGAAAAAAAACACCGAGCATCAATGCATACACGCTGAATTTATTTCATTTATATGAAATGTGGGTCTAGAAGAGGCTATGAGAGGAATTAGATTAATGGTTGCTTTTGCAGACAGTAAAGGGGCAAAGTGAAATTTTCTAATGGATGGAAATTTTGCATTTTTTTGTTGGTTTGTTTTTTCTTTGTGGTACTGGGATCAAACTCAGGAACTTGTGTATGCTAGGGCACTGAGCCATGCACCAGCACTAAAATTTTTACTTTCTGATTAAGATAATGCTTTGCATGGATCAAAATTAATCACCTTTGACACTTTATTTTTTTCTATATTTTAGGGAAGGATCTACAGGGTGTTCAGGGTCTCACTACTAGAATGGACTCATAGTGATTCTCCTGCTTACAGCCTCCCAAGTGCTGGGATTATAGGCAGGCACCACCACACCCAGTCTGAATCATCCTCTCAGCGCACCTGGGGGTGGGGCTGGCACAGCAAGCCTGGAGATCGAAGCCCCTGCCCCTGCCTGCTTGCAGGCACATTAATCTGCTGAGCTTTTTGGCTGGCCCCACCTTTGACACTTTAAACCTCTATATTGTTACCGTAAGTTAAATTTCAATAAAAGTAAGTTAAAAAAATAAATTATGATCCCTAATAATTTTTTTAAAAAATATAAATTGTACCTTAAAAAGGATGCCAATATTTTTCCCTGCAGTTCCTCAATACTTCTTTGCACCAATCAGTAAAAGCATGTGATTCAACTGTTTTTAAACATCACTACATGAGCACTGCTTTTGGATAAAGGAATTCAAACAACTTAATTCCCTAAAATAAAAGTACTACACTGCAATTTGAAATTTAAAAGAATGTTCCCAGAATATGAAGGGACTGTTGACCTTTTGTGTGTTTATTTTTTCTAATAATATACTGTTTCAATCAGCTTGTAAAGTTTCCCTATCTACATTATTACTGAGAAATCCAAAGATGGAAATATTTTAGACAAGAACAACCTTGTGAGAAATTTTCTCAAGAGTTTCATTACTTTTTTCTTTCTTTCTTTCTTTCTTTTTTTTTTTTTTTTGTATTTCAAACCAGAATGTCATTCATCTGCCATTCATCCATTTATCCATTCAGGTTAGAGTCCAGAAATACAAGTACCTGGAGTTCTATTATTTTTCCTTTCTGAAAGAGCACAGGATTACCTCTCAGGAAAAATTAGACACAAAATCTTCACACAACACTATAAGGAATAACACATTTCTCTTCAGACTTAATTGGAGAACTGTATAGTACCTAGTTCAAATTCTAAAGGTCAGGAATATTAAGAGTAAGCAGATTCCTCCAAGGAAAGTGAGCAATTATAAGGAAAGAAATGGTATTTCATTTAGTAGGAAGTAAAACACTCAATTTGTAAGGCATTTGCCATGCTAAGTGATATGCTATAAACATTTTGAAAATACAACATCCTATTAACTGTTTACAACTATCCAGAAAATATAGTTTCCCCATTTTACAGGTTATAAAACTGTAACAAGGGGGGCCTGCCCCGTAGCTCAGTTCTTTAAGTGGCTTCTTCAACAAAGCAGTCAGGCTCCGGTTGCTTTGGTTCAATCCCCACAACACAAGACAGCCAGTCATGCCTTGAAGGCATTCCGAGCAAAAAAAAAAAAAAAAAAAAAACTGTAACAAAAAATCATACAGCTAATAATTAACTGAAAAATTATACAGCTAGTAATTAACATTGTTGGGATTAAACTGCAAGGATACATGAAACCAATATATACTCTTTCCACTATACTATAATGTCTCTGAACTGTATAGGAAGGAAATGGAACTTTAGAAAAACAGAGAAAAAGCCTGTAAAAGGAATTTACACCAAATAGCCATATTATATACAATCTGAAAAAATCCTGAGAATTTTAGCTGACCCCCCCAAAAAAAATCCTTAAGAGAATAATTTGCTGCCAAAGGCCATTAAAAAGAAAGACCTCTACATATTTAGAAACAATGCTAAATATCCAAGGTTGGTCACTCATGGATAAGACAAATCTGTTTTACTGAAACAAGTTTGGTCTGTATCCTCATATCTACAATGCTTATTAACATGACACACAGATACATTAAGTAATGCAGGACTGCTGGAACCAATTCAGCTGGACTGTCACTTTCTTGAACAAATAACAAATAATAATTTTCATTAACAAATGATAGGACCTAAAGGACTGTCCCGGAAATTAACCCAATACATGTCCCCATCTTATAATGACTAGTATACAGGAAATACTTAATAAGTATCAACTAATATCCTCTTCATAAGCTTTGTCCAATCAGGACTCCCACAAAATGGACATGTTCTATGCTTCATATATATAAAATATTTAATGATCCCCCTTACCAGCCAATTTTAATTTTATTCTTTTTCTCTCAAATCTCTTAACTTACAGTTTGTGTGACTTTAAAGGTTATTTATCTCTCTGAGCTGTTTTCTCTCTCTAAAATAAAAAGCCATATTCCCTACTTCAGATAAAGTTATTTAGTGCTTTAGTGGAAAGCAATAAGTAACACACATTA